AAATTATCAGGAATTTGGTTTTATCTCTCTAGAGAACCCTGTCTAACACACTGAGTCATTTATCTCTCCGCCTTTCAACTAATCCCATATGGGTTCATTGGCCATGTTGTCACAACAAACCTACCTCTCACAGTCGCCTTTTGCGTTGTTGAATAAAAGGTATTTGGGATGAAGACGTCATTGGTCTTGCATAATTCTATCATGTGATCTTCAGCTTCATTTTTATCATCAAGACCATAGTTTCCATTTGCTGCCACTTCTTTCTTTCCAGCTTTTGCATCCTGCATCCCAATTACCCATAAGTATTCATGTATCTTGATTGCATATTTGATCCATTTGGGGCTGAAGACATCCGTAGAATTCTTCAATTTCTTCATCACTAACTTGAGTGATTGATGGATTGCTGCATCAATCTGAGTAAGAGTTATTTTGACTGCATTTCCTTGTGTAAGGATAGATATTATCCTATTACAGCCAACATTGTACTTCAAGATAGATCTTGAAATGTTCTATTTGATTATGAACTATTCCTCTTGAATTAGGTAGTATGAGTCTGATTGGGGGATAAATCACTGCCTTCGAGTTTATTCCTAGAAACAATTGGGTATAAAATTATAGCATATCAAGTTCTTTGGAACATAGCAAAGGCAGTGCTCAAAGGTCAATTTATACCTTAAAAAAAGAAGAAATATTAAAAAAAAGAAGAAATATCAAGAATGACTACTTTAACACAGCAACTCTAAAATTTAGGAAAAAAGGAATTAAAAACCCTACAGTCTCCATAAGACTGGAAAAATAATTATTAGAGCAAACATAAATGAAACACTAAAAAGGGAAAGAATCAACAAGACTATGTTTTTTTGTTGTTGTTGCTCTGTGTTCTTTTGTTGCTTTGTTTTGCTCTGTCTTGTTGTTTGTGCATATTATTATATCTGCAAGTCTATTTAGATAAGATAGGCAGGATAAACAATCTGGAGGAGAAAATAATAGGGGGACATGGGAGAGGGGGAGGCAGGGAAAAAGGAAGTGGATGTTAAACAACCCCAGGGACAGGGAACAACAAGTGATCTAAAATCGATGGCAAGGAGGGTGTAGGAGACCTGGTAGGGCTTGATCAAGGGCAATGTAACCGAGAGGAATTACTAAAACCCAAATGAAAGCTGAACATGATAGTGGGACAAGAGGAAAGTAAAAGGAAATAGAGGAAAGAATTAGGAGGCAAAGGGCATTATAGATGTCTAAATACAGGCATGTACATATGTAAATAAATGTATATATGACAATAGGGAAATAGGTCTATGTGCATATATTTATAGGTTTGGCATTAAGGGAGCAGATGAACATTGGGCCTCTACTCAAGTATTCCCTCAATGCAAGAACACTTTGTTCTATTAAATTGGCATTCCATGATGCTCACCTTCCTGACACGATCACTGAAGACAAAGTGGGTGCATAAGCAAATGTGGCGA